CCCCAAAACCCCAAAACCCCAAAACCCCAAAACCCCAAAACCCCTTTGATATACTCGATTGTTGAAATTCTTAAATACTATTGGTAGGTGAGTTTGATAGTTAATTCAATAAAGATGGAGGAAACACTCTTTTTAAATATCCATCCAGAATTCTGTTGAAAGCCCAAAGATCTGCTTCAAGAATTCTCAAACTTGAAGTTATAAACTTTGTAGGAAATTTTAGGTAAAAATAGATATTTCAAGAGCCAATAGGAATTTAATTAGGCTCTTGCGAATTTTCGAGGTTGACGTCATTGATTTGCCTTCTGTTCATTCTTCCTTCGGTCTGGTTGTGACTCCTATTTGCAAAGATTAAATTATATTTATTGAGACTCTTACCTTCAAATAGAGAGGGCTCCCTTCATATGACTCCTTGAGAGGCTCTGCACTGGGCACATAGGGTTGATCATAAATTTCGTCCCAGCAATAAGAATCACTTTGAGCATCGCCATCATGACTCCTACTGCTATCCATGGAAGAAGAAATTTAGTCAAAAATGGTATAAATTTGGCTCTAAATAATCTCAGATTCATGAATCTGAATTTTTTTATGACCAAATTGGTAAAGGATGCTAACTTTGGTAAGGAAAAGAGATTATTTCTATTATATTTTACACAATAAAGCAGCAAGTAGCCCAGATTAGCGACCCCTGCTGATGCCAGGAAATACTTTAGGAATTCCTGTAGGAATGTCTGCAGAATTGGGCCATCATTTTGTCTAGCTGCAAAGAACCTAGTATTAACTTTGTAAGCTAAACTGGAAAGTCATCTCAATACTTCCTTAGGATAGCTCTTGGTATTCCAGTGGTTGCTATTGCAAGATTCTGCACATCCCTGAACTCTGTTGTTGTTCATTGCCTTGGAAAGTTTGTGCAAGCGAGATCTCTTCCTTAAACGAGGCTCAAAAGTTGCTTCTTGAGGGTTTGATTTACTTAACATGTGATAAAACTATATTTATGAAAATACTATTAATTTGATCTTAAATTTCAGTCTCTTAAGGTAGACAAGGGGTTTTGGGGTTTTGGGGTTTTGGGG